AAGGAGATATCATCAACTTCAGATTAGGCCTACAAAGGTGTAGTTTTCTTCCTTAGCATCATATGTACACCAGAATGTCCCTTAAAGGCTCCGAAGTTTACATTTTAGACAAGAGTCTATCACTGCGCTAATGCCAGTCAAGGAGTGATGTGCCTGGACATGCCAAAAGACAAGTGGAGTGCAGCATGATTTCTGAAGTTCTCCTCTTCACCTGCTCCCTTCTTACAGATTGGCCTGCTGCTGCTCCCATGGTTGGAACTATTACTCCTCAGTATGGGCCTATCCAAAGTCCCTTAAATTCTCATCTGGAAATGTTTTTCAGGAGGGGGATTGAAACTATAAAGAAGAGGGCCAAACACTCAAAGACATCTCTCCCTGGCCATCTCACTCTTTGCACCTGACACGACAAAAGAAGCAGCTGTTGGACTCTGGGGGAGGGGTCCTGACCTGAAGAGTTTGGTCAGTAATGCTGTTGGAAGCCTGTGGTGAGAAACTTTGCCTTGAATCTAATATAGTTTGTTAAGTTAGGCCACGGGTTGGCAACCTTTGGCATGTGGCTCGCCCGGGTAAGCGCCCTGGCAGGCTGGGCCAGTTTGTTTACCTGCCACGTCGGCATGTTCGGCCAATCGTGGCTCCCACTGGCCGCGGTTCGCCATTCCAGGCCAATGGGGGTGCGTGAAGCGGCACGGGATGTACTGGCCATGGCTTCCCACCACCCCCATTGGCCTGGGATGGCGAAACGCGGCCAGTGGGGGCCGCGATCGGCCAAACCTGCCAATGCAGCAGGTAAACAAACTGGCCCAGCCCGCCAGGGTGCTTACCCTGGCGAGCCGTGTGCCAGAGGTTGCTGACCCCTGAGTTAGGTGCTAGAAAGCATTTTATCTTTATTTTTCTTGTAACCATTTCTGACTCGTATGCCTCTTTGCTTGTACTCACTCAAAAATAGTAGGTGTATTGATTTAGCTAATCCAGTGTATTTAAGTTAAAGTGTCTGGGAACTCTATTTAAGATAGTAAACTGGTGTATGTTATTCCCTTAAAGAAATAATGGACATAATATATTTGGACTGTCCAGGAGAGGGCTGGGCAGTGCAAGACATACATTTCTGGGGAGGGAAGTCTAGGACTTGGAGTGTGTTGGGGGTCACCTTGCAGTATAACCCAGGCTGGTAAAAGCCAAAGTGTAAACCAAGTGTGGCTGGCAGGTTGCAGTTACACACAGACACTCAGGGTGTAGCAGCATGCTGGAAGGGTGATTGTGAGGGGCTGAGGTGGGAGCTACTGCAGCAAGACATTGTAAGGAATCCAAGGTTGCAGGGCAGGGGTGACATACCCCCTTCCTGGTCTGCATTGCACACCTGCCGCAAGTAACTTAAAATTAATGTTCCTAAAATGATGTTTTCTGTAAGTAAAAACATCATTCATTACAAGTTATTGTAGTTAGTTATTATTAGTTGATAATTATTAATGTAGTTATGGTAGTGCTCACTACGGGATGGGTGTTTGTACACATGTTAGAAGTGAGAGTCTCTGCCTCCGAAAGCTCACAGTCTAAGGGCAAATAGGGCGATAGCTGCACAAAACATTGGCACCAATAGCCAGCTCTGCCACATAGAGAAACTCATCCTAGCCTTGTAATTGGGTTTACTCAGAATCTGGCCCCCAGGCAGAGCCAACCCCCACATTGTTCCCAGACCAAGTGCAATAAGCATAGAACGTCACACATGGATCCTACATACCTCTCACTTGAAGCATCCAGGCTGCCTGTGGGGAAGGCAAAATAGAGTCTAGTGAGGGGGAAAAAAATCCTTCTCAGCCCTCCTTCTCTCTCCCCCACCACACACACACAAAGATGATTGGCATAATACTCACAGAAATACTCACACTTGGTTTATACTTTGGCATAATACACCCAGAAATTTGGTGTCACCTCACTCTGGTTGGAGGGGAAGGGAAAAGCAAGGTATCAAACATGAATGCACAATGCGGACAAACACTCCACCTTGAAGGGCTATTTATCTCCTCTGAGGAGAAGAAATGGGCCAAACAGTTCCTCTACCCCTTTCAAAGCAGCCAATGGGCTGCCATTGCTGAGAAGAAAACCTCTCTCCAGTTAGGGGGAACCAAAGAGGAGGTAGGGAGGAACTCACTCACAGTGGCAGACGGATCTCAGGAGTGTCTTTACCTCTGCCTATCCACCAGAGCACCTCCCTTTTTCAGACAGAGGAGCATTTCTGTGGCAGGTTGCTTTTAAAACAGAATTGGTGTCTGTTTGAAGTTTCTCAGAAGTTTGGAATGTTAGAAGTAGTCCCAGGGGAGATGGTCTAATGCACAGCGTGCAGGTGAGGCTGCAAAAGGAGACTGATGAATGCAATTTATCACATAGCTCTGCAGTTTTTCATATGGATATCACTAACTACAGACAACCAGAGAAGCAGATAGATGAGACAGATAAGCTGTTTGGGGGCATGGAACATGTTTTTTAATATTCCATGTAAATTATAGGGCTACAAATATAAATGTTATATAATCACAATATGTTGTACAGGGCAGATTTTCTCCCAACCCCCTCATCAGGATGATTAAGAAGTAAAAAGACATTGAATTCTGGAGAACTAATTTAAACTGAAATAAGGCTTTTTTTTTAAATGGCCTCTGAAATGGTGCCTGGAAAATCTCCATTTGTGTAGGTAAACAGGGATTTGCCTTTGCAAATCAGATTCTTGTGCACCCAACTACCCATTTGTATGCCAGATTTTCCAATTCTGGGAGCACAAAATACCACACATAGGAGTGGATTTCATAGCCCCAAATTCAGAGGCCACTTTGAATTATGTGAATATGATGAAAGTTTATTCCAAGTTAAATATGACATTTTTTTATTTATTCCACCTTGGTCTTTAGCTCTTAATGAAAACTAGTATGCTATCATACAATAGTAAGGCCCCAAATTATAGTAATATGGTAGTAAACTGTAGTGTTTGTACTATTACTGTGGTATACTGTATATTTCTTCCCCAAAAGGAGTAGGTTCTGAAGAGCTTTCAAAACAGGGTGTGTGATAGTACATAGTTCACTGGGGGGAGGATTGGGCCCACTGCAAGATCCGCAGTGCCTCAGAACAATGAGCCAAATTAAGTACAGAATATGAGCTTGGTGTTTCAGCCTTAACTCTGAGTCTCTTTTGCCTTATGTGGGTTTTAGTCTGACATATAACATTACTTTTACATTAACTTTTGCGGTTCAGTTTTTTATGCACTCCAGCTTCATCACACTCAACCCTTTATGTTTTATTAGTCAAATTCCTCTGATTCAACCAGGGTGGCAAGTTCAGATGCTGAACGTCTATTTAATCCAGATTTTTAATAACAGAAAAAAAAACCCCCAAAACCAGAGCAGAGTATGAAACAATCTTATTTCAAATAGCCTTTATTCACACTAGAACAAGATTAATAGTCAAATAATTATACAAAACGCAAGACAAAAGGAATTTTTACAACTTGATTGAAGTCTACTTACACCAGTCCAACGCCTATATATGTACAACCAACAAATTTTTGGAGCACAACACTACTCAAAGTCACCCAATGGATGCTTTCAGATACAAAAACGTATCAGGACTAATAATGATCCACTGGCTCCTCTTAGTTGTATAGCAATACTAATATTAACCTTTTATTCTAGAAGAGTTTTGCACATTTGGGACAATCCCACTGCTTTCCAAACAGGTTTGGCAACTTAAATTTTTCTCAGCAGCTCCTACTTTAATGAAGCTGGAAAAACAAATGACAGATGAAACTTTTAATGCACAGAGAGCCCAACGTATTGCTTTCATTATAGAAACAGAGATCAAACAACAATTTCAACTAAAAATTGACATTTCAACTGTGCATCTTTAGACCGGAGAAAAAAGCAGCATTGTTGACATGAACAGCAACAAGCTTGTTCTGAAAGATTAAACAACAAATGTACTAAGTGTTGCTTTTTGCTGTTCTACTGCATCCTTATTTTAAAATGATAAGCCTAACAGGTAGTGTAACACGGCAATAAATAAAGTAGCAAGGGTGAGGGGTATGGAGAGGTTCCTCAGTCAAAATAGCATACTTGTTATAGGGCTGATTCAAAGCCCACTGAAGTCAATTGAAAACTTCTCATTGATGTCAGTGTGTTTTGGGCCAGACCTCTGTTAAGGTAGAAATGGTACTTCATATAGAAATGGGCCTGACCTGTTCAGTTCAGATCTGAATCTGGTTCTGAACTTTTCCAAAGTTCAGGCATGTTTGGATCCAGAGTTTAGGTCTGGATCCAGTGCTGCTTAATGGACCTCATCCAAAGCACATTGAAGTCAATGGAAGATGTTCCATTGTCTTCAGTGGACTTTGGATCAGGCTCCATGCAACTTTGCCTTTGCAGATGTGCCTACAGGCAGCAAATATCCAGAAATACCATGAGGAGTACCTTAAAATTCCAGAAAAGCATTTGGAGATTTAGCAGAGAAGAATCACCTCTCACATAATATAGTGACAGAGCTCCTAAGGTTTATGGTTCATATTTCTCCGGACCTTATGCACACTCCAAATACTACATGACTGGACCCAGAGTGTTACAGTTTAATTAGTCACATTCAGCTACTAAAACTGAGCAGCCTCGTATGCAGAATACTTTATAAATGGTCATAAACTGCTGAGCTGCAGAATCCAGCTCTGTGAGGAGGGGCTGGAGAGTATGTACAGTATATGCAGTACCAGCTGGAAAGTTCTTTTGTTTTTAACTTTTCTCTTGTGGTGTGCTAGTTACTGATGCCTAAAACTTCGCTTCTGCTGAGCTGGTAGCAAGATGCCATGGAACAAAACTCCCTCCTTCGGACCAAATGAAAATATTACATTGCTAGTCCCCAAATGGGCCATTTGTGAGGTTAGAGAGGAATGTTAGTTTCAAAGTCACAACAATCAGCAGACAGACAGTGAAATCGAACTAATAAAATACTGACTCCAGTTTGGATCTGTTACAAAACTAAGCATTTAATTGCAAATAAAGAAGATTGTTTATTCTGTGAGAAGTGACGGAGATAAGTTATTCTTATTCCCACATCAAGCACAGAGGCTTCTGTCAGAACTAACAGATTTTGTACTCTGCAAATAAAAGTATAGTTAAAATGAAACACATAATAAGTGAAGTGAAAAAGTAAAAGCTGAAGAAACAATGAAATCCCCAAACCCTTCCAATTCCAGGTAGCAGAGTTAAGAGAAATTCTTTCCCAGCAGGTTCCCCCTATCAACATATTTATTCTCTTTTACTTCCATATGGAGTCTAGAAGAAAAAAGAAAAGAAAAGAACCCTTCCCTCCTCCCTCCCCCGCCCACACACTTTACAGTGGTTCACCAGGCCTTATGGGTGACCTTTTAAAATAAAACAACTGTGCACTGTTATTTAGGTCTTTGGAAGGACCACTGGAGCAGAACCTTCTATTTCTCTATAGCTCTCATGTTAGACACCATCTCTCCTCGAGGCTTGTGCATTTTGGTTTTGGTTTTGGATGAGAGGGATGATTACATGGAGCACATTTTAAGGGCAGTGCACCTAATTGTCGCTATTTTTTTTTTTTTTGGAAGGGGAGAGGAATTTTCAGAGGTGTAGATGGCAGTTAGGCACTTTGCACTACAAGTTAATGGGAGTTAGGTGCCTAATTGCCATTTGTGCCTTTGGAAACCGTCCCCTGGGTTCCTAGTTCCAGACAGATTGCCCTGAAAGTGTTTAGCTGTATGTCTACACAAACTAGTCTGTCTCCAATTCTTGGTCTCTACAGTACCTCTGGAGTTGGCTGCAGCACAACCTTTCTAATATTTCATCTCCAATTATGCTTCCCAGCTTTTAAGGGAGTTTGTACTCAGACAAGATATCTGCAGGAAAAAAAAACCCCAAGACATTCCAGACAGAGAATAATTTTGCCACCGTATCCTTAGCTGTGCTTTGTTGGTGGTTTTTTTTTAATATAAAAGACAAAGTAATCTTTGCTTATATAAGAGCTATTTTTATTCTCTAGTTATTTTATTAGTTTTATATAAGAAACGTTAGTGGATTTTTCAGGTTTGATTTCCTCAAACTAGTTTCCTCACTTTCATGGTAAGTAAAATTAAGTAGGTATGCAAGCAAAGGACCAATCCTGCAGTCCTCACATTGGCCAGACTTCTGTGGACTTGGATTACTTTTGTGGGAAGTAAGAACCACAGAATCAGGCCCATAATTGCTGCAGCTTGTACTAAAGCAAATTAGTACACATATGATTCCCACAAGAAAAGTCAGAAAATGAACCACAGGATACACTGAGTTATTAGCAGTTGAATATTCATTGTTATTTCCACCCCAGTCCGGTAAAGGTATTATAGTGGAGAAAAACAAGTTGGCCTTCATATTGTGCTACATGCTATTACCATCTGGTTTATCAGATACAGGGGCTTAGAATCACTATGAGTTTCTATTCTGAATTTCCTGCAAGGTCTTCCACCTGAACCAGGGGTTTACACCCATAGAAATGGTGGGGGAGTCTCCCAAACTTGCTGCGGTTCTGACTTCCATAGTGGGTAGGAGAATCACATGGAGGTCCAGGGCCTCTGTATACCTCCTTTGACTCCACCTTCTCCATGACATCGTGGCTCCCATAGGAATGTCCCATTGTATGACTATTTAGGCCCACATTTTCAGAAGTAATCTAATTTTGTGAGCCTCATTTTTTTTGGTGGCCAACTTTAGACCCTGGAGGCCTAATTTTCAGAAGTGCCAGTCGTGTCCAACTCAAGTTTAAGTCAATGGGCGCTACAAATCTGCCATTCCTCTGTAAATTAGTTCTTATGTGTCTAAACTTGGAGACTGAAAAATGGAGATACCTAAAATTAGTGAACACTTTTGGAAACAAGCATTTTTAAGTGGGTAGTGTGATTATTGACCAAGAGATATGGCTAAAATCTGTGCTTAAATAGGAGAGAGTCTAACAGCATCCTATAGGGAGCTATTGTTGATAATAAAAATTAAAAAAACAAGGTGAGAATAAAACAGCAGCAAGTGAAACTGCCCTCTCAGAAAGCACTGGTTTGTTTTAAAGAGAGTGTTGATATTCTCCATAAGCCTCAGTCACATCCCACAGGGCTATGGTGTGTCTTGTAATGGTATAATCAAAAAGCAATGGTGCTCTGAACTTGCAAATAGAAGGCCTGATCTTCCTTCCATTTAAATCAATGAGTGTTTTGTTATTGACTTCAGTGGGAACAAGAGCAGGCACACGTTCATCTGTAATTAATCCTATGTGTAGTTTATCTGCACATTTGCTTATCCAAATGATTCTAACTGGAACCAACAGTGTACATTTATATATGAATATCTGTCTATAGGAAAGCATGAATGTGTGATTGATTTAATAATGTGTTTTTAATCCAAATGGTCTTGGAATTTGTAAAATGATTCCTATTACCAAGACTGACTTAGCTGATGCCTGCACATTCCCCCCCCCATAAATACAGAGTTACATTACTGTAGATCAGTAATTCTTATTTGCATATATGCTAGAAAATGCAAATAGATTTTTAGGTTATTTTTAAATCTTCTCAATTATGTATCCAATTAAAATATTACACATTGTTTTAAACCAGGACAAACTTTTTAAAATACCCAATCCATCAGCCATGGTTCTTGGTTTCCTTGAAGCACAGTTTCTTTGATGATTACTAGAAAATTGCAATAACTGGCAGGTAAGATTGTTGTGACAAGCTCCTTTGATAATACAGGACCAAATCCTGATTGCTTTATTTATCCGAATAGTCCCATTCGAGTCAATGGACTATATTCAGCTTTGGTGTAATTCCATGGGAGAGAATTACACCCGAATGAATTTAGCCTGTTGGGACTATTTGCATTAGTAAAACAAGCAGGAATTAGCTCATAAAAGTGTGGGTAGAATTTTATTTTATTTTTAAAATTAATGAATGGTATATATCCATTTTAACATAACTCTTTCAAAATAGAATAGAAGTCTACTTCATGTTATAGGAAATTACATTCCTTTCAGATTTCCTATTTCAAAGAGTGCCTCAAATTTCCAAGATTTCCAAGAGACTTTTTGTATAAGTAATAAAAGTCTTTAAAATTAAAATGCTAATTGTAAACAAACCCAAATGCTTGAAAAATATAGTCTGACTGCATAACAAAAGAGAATTATATAATTCTATTTGAGTGAAATCTTTCATCTTTGATTTACAGGTTTGAGTCCCCTATAACTGAAACCATATTGTTCCATATCTTTCATATCATGGCATTCCCCAAAATCTTGTTTTAATTAAGGTTTCTTTCAGATTTCTGAATAAAAAGCATGACAGTCTTCACTTATGGCTTTAATATATCCTTTGAGTTTGGAAAATATATAAAAAATGAACATCACTTACTTTCAAAAGCAAAGCCAGCTTTCAAATACTGCAAGTAGAATTCTTCAAGGTAAGTAAAACAGCTCCCAGGGTTGACTGGTGGTGGGGGGCAAGTTGTAAACAAAACTAAACTTGCTGTATCACAATTTGTGTTTATTTAAAGTATTCTACATAAATGCCCTGTTCCCTTTTACCTTCTCTGACAGTAAGGCAACATGTGTAATAGTTTAGGTGTTCATTATCAGCTAAAGGCACAATTCTATGTTACGCTCTCAAACATTAATTTAAGGAGTTAAAGTCACTTTTCAAGGACATTTTGCTTTAAAGGATCTAAAATATAGACTAAACCCTTTGAAACTTTTTAAGCAACACTAACTTCTGTGGGTCTGCAGTAATGAAAATAATCTGTTTGCATTCAGATGGTGATGTAAAAAAAACCTCTCAACAAATGATCACTGCAGAAACACCTGAGCTTCCAATGAGCTGCACACAGATACTTTTTCTTCTGAAAGTCAGGATGCAAAATAAACTGAAACAACTTTTGAAAAGTCATCCATTTTTCAGAGATTATTTGAGTCTCTAATGCACATATGCTGAAAGCTACTGTCAACTATGCAGAGTGCAGCATTTTTAAAAAGGCAGAAGATCACTCTTGTAGAGAACCTTGATTATGGTGTTATTGATATAAAATTATACATTAAACAGGGATATAATTCTAGAAAGAGAGAAAATAAAATAAAGCACCACTAAGCACAGTACTTTGGGGGACTTAAAGTACAGTAAGCAGTGCTTTCTTTTTAGCTAAAATTCCCTCATCCTAATTTACGTCTTTAATTTATCCAAACAAGATTTCAGTACGTTGCCTTAAATAAGACACAGTTTATGAGCTATCCATTATTTCATTACACTGAGCACAGAAAACAAATTCTATTAACAATTTAACACAGTGTGAAAACAATTACCCAGTAAAAAGTGTTTCAGAATGTCAGAAAGAGTGATTCGTGGAGTTTCCCCAGAATTTTGCTGGATGTTGCAATTCTTGTAGCTATCAATAATCTATCATGTAGAATATTTTAATATTTCTATTTCACAATTTATGTCAGTGAGTGGGTCACACAGCATATTAAAAGCATGCACTAGGCTCTTTCTCTCAAGCCTGATTTATTGTAACTTTAGAATTGTAGTGGTTACATTTAAGGAATCTTTAGGGCCCTTTCAAGTCCATCCAAAGAACAAGTGAAGCTGCTGTTCAGAGTTTTGTGCCCAGTGTTTATGTTCCATCTGATCTGTGCCACCCAAGCAGCAGACAAGACATGTCTGAGGGTGCTTTGGGGGGATACACAATGATGTCACACACAGGAAATATCAGGGAGGACTTGGCACTTCACAAGGCTGGCTCTTCTTCCATGGGCTCGCCAGCAGCTCTGTAAAAATAAACAGGCAATCAGAATACAGCGCAAGAGTACACAATGACATTGTAGATTTTCATGCATAATCAAAGCTGATTTTTCAGCTCTCTCTGATGTTTATTTGTGTTATTCAGTTATCCATAAATAGAGTTTCTTTCTTAGGAAGTATAAACAAATGTCAAGTGGAAAAACATTTTAGATCTAAGCAATCACTGCAAATGTTCCTGTTTATATTAAAATATGTCAGAATATTTTATAACTTTAGGTTCAGAAATGTACATGCATTGTGTCAGCAAAGTCAAATAATTTAATGAAAAAATTAGCTGTGATACTTTTATTTTTCAAGCATTTGCAACTAAAAATAAATTACTCTTCTTCAAATGGGACCATACCATTAAAACCAAATAGTTACCATGTAGTTAGCTGACAGGCCAGTCCTCTGATTTTTGCTTCTGCACTTTCATAACGACAGTGCATGTCTTCCTAACATTTCTAAGACCAAATTCTGAATTTGAATAGCAGATCGCTGCCATACAGCAGGTATCTATTAATAATATATAATCAGATTAGATACCTATCCTTTATTAGAAATCATCTGGGAGACATTCTGCTCAGGCAAAACCAAAACCGACTGTTAAAGATGTACAGCTGGTGCAAACTGCCATAGCTGTATGACAAGTTACGTCAGCGGAGGATCTGCCCCACTATCAGCATCCACTATATAAGGAATTGTCAGAGATTGTATTAGAAACCTCATTGTTGAAAGGCTTAAGAATTTGGACGTGGCCATTTTTTTCCTAAGAAGTAATTTGACAAACAATATCTAAACTTGGAACTTCAGTTGAAAAAAAAAAGGCAGTTCAAGACATTTTTTACATGAGAGGAGGGCTAAACCAAAAAGAGGCTTTACCAATAAATCTCACTTAATGTTTGGATTCAATAAAACCTCCCCCAGGAAGTGGAAGCTCTCATGCAAGCCCTAGAAAATTAATTATGTGGGGCTTGCGTAGCCTTACATGGGTTTCTGCAGCAAGGAAGCCAAAGAACTTTAACTGAATCTGGACTTTATTTAAGGCTCCTCCAATGAAAATTCAGTAGTGTCTCTTTAAAAGAATTTATACAGGTTATTAATCCAATCACTAATCACTTCTGGTATTTTGAAAAAAATAAAATAAAATGAGCGTGATATGAAAAGGCAAATGTCTTCTAACTAACTACTTTCCATAAAATGTTTTACAATGTGTTTGGATTATTAATCCATAAAGCACAAATCCTTCCCCCTTCCCCACGCTGTGGAGGGTCTCATATGCAACGTAACCACTCACGTTCTGCTGCTCCTGGGAGTTGAAAGGGAATGGAATTTATGGGAGCTCTGCAGAAGTGTACATCCATGCATACAGCTCTGTGTTGGTATGTTTGAAAATGTGGCAGGAGCAGGGCTGGATAGGATTGGTGTATCTATTTCCAGACAAACTGCCCATTGCAACACATGGCATATGTCTATGTTCATGGAAATTTTAGGGGAAAAGTAGGTTCAATTTTTCACTGGTGTTTTTTAAATGCTCCAATGAGCTATGCAGCCTGATGAAGGAGTCCCAGTCCTCTCTTGAGATCACTAACACATGGCTCACTACTCAGTGTGGTGCACTGAATTCCACGTGATAGGGTATAAATGCCCCACTGACTCTGTCGTAAATATGCACTCATTACAACATCTCAAAGTGAGTCATCGCTGCGTATACAACACGTATATTAAGGCAAACAGAGAAAATGTACAAAAATCAAGGTACAGATAGACAAATTGTCTTAGGATGGTTGATTTGTATGAGACAGTAGGGGTGAGTTGTATAACACAGGGCTTTCATAGCATTTGCCCCCAAGACTGCACATCAGTTGCAATGGAAATGGGTCCCAGAATAGAAGCCTATCTGCTACCACTGGAGGTGAAGAGAGAGCCTCCTAGCATAGCCTCTCCACAAGGCTTATCATAGCATTCATATGATTCTATACTTGATGTATTGGCTTTTCTATGATTCTTGACTGTCTCACCTGAACTCTGCTAATCCATCTCCCCAGAGGATGCATCTAATATTTCAAACTTCTGAGCCGTTTCAAATAGCTGCCATTTTGTGCCATAGACAACAGGCCAGATAAACAAAGCCATCTTTACCCCAATGTGAATTCTCCCATATTCTAATTTATCCCCCATCTGGAAGGATCAGGATGGGCAGTATTAGGTCCTATACCAGTGACAGGTTACAGGTCCATTAGCTTCCTACCCTTCAGAGCTTCCAACCATTTCAAAGGGGAGAGTCCCATCTTTTTACTAAATCCACTTAAAGCCCTGGAAGATCACAATATATCAGACTATAAAGTCATGCTATTTTTATGTATAGAAAAGTTATTAAAGAACAGTTTTTAGGGATTTTGACAATTGTGTTGATTTTAACAGACCATCTTCTTTCATTTATATTCATGCAAACCATTGACTTCAACAGGATTGCAAGGATTAAGCTAAGAGCAGAAATTGACCATATTTTACATATATATAATATGTGTCTGTGTATATATATCATTACCCACACACACACAACCACCTACGTAGAAGGGATACCCACATGCCAAATTGAAAATCCATGGATCTTTAAACATATTATCTTGCAACTTTGATCACTTCACCTGGTTTCTCTGCTCACTAATCCATCTTCCTTTGGATTCATTCTCACATCACAACTTAGGAACTGACATACGGAATCGGACTTGAAATCCATCTAGTCCAGTGTCCTGTTTCTGAGAGTGACTGGTAGTAGATCCCTCCAAGAAGGTGAAAGAACTCGACTGTAGAAAGGTCTGGGATAATCTGCCCACCCCACCTCTGCCTCCCAACACACATATACACACATTAGGTCTCATCTTTGTCTCTAAAAGTTAGAGATTGGCTTAAAACCTGAAGAATGAGGTTTAATATCCTTTTCAAATTTTGTTGTTAATAATGATAATGTGGGATATTCTTGCTATCCATATAAATAATCTCTTTTTGAATCTTGTTAAGTTCTTGGTCTCAATGACTTCTGTGGCAATGTTTAATAAATTTCCTTTCTCAGTTTTCAATTTTTGTCTTTGTTCTTGTATTACTGAAGATCTTGAACTACCTTTTCCATACCATGATTGTTTTATATGCTTTATCATGTTCCCTCTTACTCGTCTCCATCTAAGGTCAAGAGTCCCAATCTTTTCAATCTCTCGTGTGTTTTTTGGTGCCCTTGATCATTCTCATCACCGTTCTCTGAGCCCGCCTCCCTTTAGTTCTGTAATAGCTTTTTGAAAATGGGGTGATCAGCACAGCACACAGTGCTGCAGATAAGGATGCACCATTGATTTATATAAAGGTATTATACTATTCTTTGTATTATTCACTATCCTATTCCTTATGCATCCTAACTTCTTGTTTGCTTTTTGACTATAGCTGCACATAGAGCAGAAGTCTTCATTGAGCTGTTAACAATGATCCCCAGATTCCTTTCTTGAGTTGATACTGTTAATTTAGATCCCTGAAAAATGTATGAGTAGTTCAACTTTTTCCCTCCAATGTGCATTTTATCAGCATTGAACTTCAGTTCCCATCAAGTTGCTCTTCCACCTAGCTGGTTTAATTCTCTCTGAAGTTCCACTCAGTCCTCTCTGGTGATAACTAACCAAAATAGCCTAAATTTTGCTACTCGCTATTCACCCCCCTTTCCAGATCATTAATAAACATATTAAATAACACTGAACCTACTACGGACCTTTGAGGCACCGTTTGTTACCTTTGCCATGATAAAAATTACTCTTTACTTTCTGTCTCCTAGCCAAGCATTTGATGCATTACAACACTTTGCCTCTCACCCCATGATGATTTAATTTCTTTAGTAGCAGTCAAAGCCCCTGTGAAAGTCTAAACCAATTGTGTCAGCTGTTCTTCCTTATCCACTACTGACATGTTCAAAGAATTCTAAGCGATTAGTGAGACATGATTTTCCTTTGCAGAATTCAGGCTGGCTAGATCCTAACATCTTATGATCTTCCAGATACTTGTTATTCTGTCTTTAATGAACCCATGAACAGCTTCAAACAGTCTGGTTTTCAAAAATCAGCCTGCTGGGGGAAAAAATTGTCCTTCTGATCTCAAATCTGGAATTAAAACATTTATTTGGAATACTGTTTAAAATGGTTTATTTCTGTATTTCTTTCATTCACTGTTAAGAATACCGGAGAAAAATTTATGTCACCAAAAAAGTGTTTTCCTCATTTTATAAATTGGAATTACAGAGATTTCTCAGCTCGACATCATCACACTGAGATTAAAAATAAAAGTATAAGGTATGTTTCTAAGCAACAGAGAACTGTCAAATGCTCAAACAGCATAAGAACATAAGAATAGCCATACTGTGTCAGACTATTGGCCCATCTAGCCCAGTATCCTGTCTTCCGACAGTGGCCAATGCAGGTGCTTCAGAGGGAATGAACAGAACAGGTAATCATCAAGTGTTCTGTTACCAATTCCCAGCTTCTGGCAAACAGAGGCTCAGTGGTTTGAGCATTAGCCTACTAAACCCAGAGTTGTGAGTTCAATCCTTAAGGGAGCCACTTAGGGATCTGGGGCAAAATCAGTACTTGGTCCTGCTAGTGAAGGCACAGGGCTGGACTCTCTGACCTTTTAGGGTCCCTTCCAGCTCTATGAGATAGGTATATCTCCATCTATACATATAGAGAGAGCACATGGTTTTGCATCCCTGCCCATCCTGGCTAATAGCCATTGATGAACCTATCCTTCACAAACTTATCTAGTTGTTTTTTTAACCCTGCTATAGACTTGGCCTTCACAACATCCTTTGGCAAAGAGTTCCACAGGTTGACTGTGCATTGTGTAAAGAAATACTTCCTTGAGTTAGTTTTAAACCTGCTGCCTATTAATTTCATTTGGTGATCCCTAGTTCTTGTGTTATGAGAAGGAGTAAATAACACTTCCTTATTTA